TGCGTATACATTTTGCGTGAGTTGAAAAACATATCCAAGCATAATAGCTATGGTTTCTGAGGAAGATCGTTCAGATCATGCAAGTGGACAAAGCGAGGTAAAATCTTTTTATTCTAACAACACAGTCGCTCTTGTTATAAATTGATGACCACAGTCAATGTGCTCCTACTAGTAAAGTAGTATACCTTTTCTAATTTCCATTGTGTTTTGCAACCTTTACAGATCGTCAAAGAAGTCTTAAATAGTATATTGGATGAAGTATCAGATGAAACAGAGGTACTTTTCCAAATGAATTAATCAAATCATGTTTCATAAAGGTGTGTTTTGATATATATGGAGTGCGAAGTGTCAAGTCTATAGCTTCTATAGCATCGACTGATGTAGGTGAGACACTATTCAGTTGTTAAAATATATTTTCCATGTTTGAGGTGATCTCTCGGCACTAAGTGATGATGATTCAGTGTGTTTAGAACCCATCCAATCAGATCCTGACTCTGATGTTGAGTTCTCGAGGTAGAAACTGTTCCTGACAAGCATTATAATAATTCATAAAATTTTAGATACTTAGAACAAACTGCCAAATACCGCAAAAAGCTTTTCATTCATGAACACGCGACTCATTTGGAGAACAAAAGGAGTCGCCAACAACATCATTTGAAGCAAACTAAGTAACTTTCGCACTTCTATTGTGTACTTTTCTAACGTTTAAGCATGGAAGATGAGTACGAAACAGTTCCAAACTTTGCCGGGTTGAGCATCAACTGTCCAGAGGAGTTTCCACTAGCGAAAGTTGGGAAAATTGAAAATATTGTTGGTTGTATAGGTTCGTGCTTACAATGACAAGTTTGTTCATCACTGTTTACTTCAGCTGTGATCTCTTCCACGATTAAAGTGACCCTGGATTTAGGAACAATACTCTTCGATGAGGTGCGTTATTTCATTGTTCATGAGTTTGATTGGATTTTAGACAAAAAAAATGTTGGGCGAAGTTGTTGATGTTGTCGGTACTGTTAAGGAACCGTTGTATTGTATGAAACTGCCGGAGGTATGACAGTTCAGTTGGTCTTATGTATACTTTCATGTTTCCCAGGAGAAACTAACAGTTGGAACTGAAGTATTTTTTGCTCCAAGCGTGGAAACATTAACCAAAACTATTCTGGATGCTAACCTGACGACGTGAGTTCAGTTTAACAGCGAGAAGCCATGTTTGAGGATTACAGGCCATGGCAAGTTAGAGAAAAGCAGAGTGATGAAGAAGACGCGGTATTCAGTGATGACGAAAAGGAAAAAGAATATTATCAGAAAAAGAAGAAGAATACAACGAATGGTTTCCAATTATTCTGTTCTGAAGTTTCATATCCATTCAGTTAATAACCAACGAAAACGAGGAAACACTGGAACGAAAGTACGGTTCGCGACTCAAAACAAAGAGAAAGGAGAAGGATCGAACTGGAATTGGAATCAGAAGGGGTCAAAGAAGTATTCGCAGTATGAATATCCAGCTGAAATTGATATCGAAAAGCCAAAGTTAGTTCTCATTCTTTGCTTCTCATTCCCTCTTCTCAATCTCATTCGTTTTTGCAATTTCTTCTTTTTCAGCTTATCAGGGGTACCCCCGTTGAACACACAAAAGCCTCAAGAAGCAGAGAAACGATTTTCTTACTTGAAAGCTGTGAGTTATGCCGTTTCCTTTCTCACAATCATCCTTTTTTAAGAACCGAAAACCAAACTCTACAGTCGTACCTAATAACCCTTACCCAGAATTAGGCTGTTATGACGAATTCCTCCGTCAATAAACTTGTGATTGTTTTATTTGTTATTGTTGTTTTTCGTTATAAACGTCTTATACAAATTCTTTCTTGAAACATCCTTAAACATATGAAACGTCGAGAATATGGAGGTTAAAAAAGCGCAACCGGCACAAATGCGAGAAAAATACAAAATGAATATTACGTGGAGGGAACGCGTGGACGTTATAGTTAAGACTGTTCCTCTC